AAAAAAAAAAAACAAATATTGAAAAAGAAACGATTGAAACTGAAGATCTTTATGACAAAATAACAGTTCAATAAAATCAGGATTCAATAACATGTATTGAACCATGTAAAATAAAATCACTGAATTTTTACTAAAATTGAAATGCTAATGTCGCAATGTCAGGATAGCAATCAGCTTAATTTTAAATTCCGAATCGATTTGCTCAGCATTGTCCTACTCAGTTAAGGCCAGTTTTTCAGTGCCAGTTTAAGCTTGGATCACGTAAACTTCGTTTATATTTAATAGCCGGCGGACATTTGATTGGTTAATATTAGTTTAAACAACAGTCAGATTTAAAAGTGCACTGAAAAAATCACATTGAAGGGTAAATTTATAGAAACGGATTTTCCCCCCCAAATTTAAATTTTTACTGTTATTACAAAATTAATTTATATTGGGTTTGCTGATCACATTTAAATGAAATTTAAATATCGTCGCCTTTATGCCAGAAACATGAATGTGTAAAAATGAAAATTTTGAGAAATCCTTTTTTTTTACGAGAAATATATTTTTTCCGTGTACGCTTGGTATTCTGGGTTTTGGTATAACATAGAACATCCAAAGGTTAATCAAGTCAACTCAATAACTCAACACTGATAAACTTGCACATTCATGCTTCTGGCATAAGGGTGACGATGTGTAGCTTCTTCCGCATAAATTTCGACTCGAAATTTAACTTTACATAATCTATGTATTTCTGATGCAAAATAAGCTATATAACATAAATAAAAGTTTACTTTTAATAAAAATATACCTTGTTTCAGAAAATTAAATTAAAAAATTAAAGAAGTAATCAAAATTGTTATATTCAGTGCATTTAACATATTAAGATAAAAATGTTGTTTTACAGAATGTTTTATTCATTATTTTTTTTTCTTCTGCGCTCTGCTTCTTCGGCTAAACTCTATGCATCCTTCTGTTACATACATAACCTCAATTTAAAACTATATATTTTTTGTTTACGCTAGAATTTGAAATTTGGAACTCGATTTGCTACCATACAAACAGCTTATTTTAATGTAAAGTATATACTTTTCATATATTTCCCCAGATTGAGTGCAAAAATTTATAAATTGCTGGAAATTTAAAATTTTTCAAGTTACACACATTTTCAAAAACACCAAAAATTGACATTTTCCTAGTTGTAACAATTGAAATAGCGATTGAAGTGCAAAGCAAAGGGCGCATACGCACTCATGAACTTATATTTAAACGTTGCTTATGCTACAATTTCTGCTGCTTGCGGTCGATATTAGCTGAAAAAGCATACTTTTAGCGCGGAAAAAGTTTACAAAGCGTCGTCTATTTAGCATTTAGCATTTTGATTTTTTTTTTTTAACTCGCAGTGGATATTGCAGTCAAAAACGCATGAAATATATTTTCAATAGGACTTAGTGTTTTTTTCATTTGTTTGCAAAAAATTCCCAAATACACTTCATAGTTAATACATAGCTAAAGTTTAGAATTTATATTATCTTGAAATCAATTAACATTTTCTTTCTAAAATGTGTAATTTGTATTAGAATCGTATATAGTTGAGCAGCAGCTACGCTATACCAGCCAAGCTTGAGAGACTCATTGTTGCAAATTCAATCATACAAATAATTCGATTTTTCTTTTTCAATTGGCTACATATTTTGCTTTCATAAATCATCAACTTCTTTAGAATGCGCATCGTGCGCATAGCAGAAAGACACACATCTCAAAATTCGCTTATTTATAGGCGCACGCACGCAGCAGCATTAAAGTGTAGTAATTATTAATACAGTACTTATTACATAGAAATGATGTGTCGCGAAAATATAATTTTAAGATTGTTTCTTTCTCTTCTGTTTTACTATGTTATTTTTTGTTTCGCCCGGTTTGCTTACAATTCTAAAAAATACGCTTGAACTCCTCATTACGGTTTGGCTCCTTTTCTTCCCCTGCTCGTTTCCAACTACCACATAACTAAAAGAATTTTTGCAGCGCAAAATCTTCATCAAAAAATAACTACAACTACGTACGCCAACAGCAATATCAAATCAATCTCTCACGCGCAAAATGTATACATATTTAAATTTGTTTAATGGTTTTAATGATTCGATCTGTGTGATTTTGTAGCAGCTGTTTTATTAGCTGCAGCTGTGGCTGCTGGATTAATTACTGTTGCTGTTGCGTGATCTGATGCTACTGCAGCTGGTGCTGCTGCTGCATCATCATCCTCCTCCTCCACGGTTACTGTTGGTGCTGCTGTCTGCTGCTCCACCTCATCATCCTCATCGTCGTCGATTATCTCAGTAATGGTTAGCGCTTGTGGTTGATGTGGCTGCTGATGTTGTTTGGTATGTTTGGAGCGATAATTACGGCGTGCGGCCGAAGCATTATAGGGATGGGGATGTACGCTGTAAAAATTCGAATAGAAGTTATAGAAATTAACAATGGCAAATCGAAAAGAAATGCATGCTTAAAAGTTAAAAGCGAACGTATAAAAAAAACTAATAGGATAACAAATTAGAATAGAAACATTTTTAAAATAAGTGGACGCGCAAATAGGTAAGGGGAAATAAAAATACGACATAAACATATTGATATATGAGCGTATGTAATTGCGGAGCGTAATAAGGGCCGTGCGGGCAGGTTGGCAAGCAAATGGGTTGTAGATAAATATATAATTTTCATACGATAACATGATTGGGGTTTATTTGGTTTCTAATAAGCAGCAAGCCTATGCTCCAAATGGTACAAATATATGTGTACATATGTACTATCCATTTACGAAGTAGCACTCGAATTGTAACTTTGTGAAAATAATATGCAAGTAAATCCGTATATTTTTCAGCCTATGGTTCCTTACGAAAGCAAATTTGTGAATATTATATACAAAACAAATCAAAATAATGAAATTTTAGCTTACTAAAAGCCCCAATACGAAATTAATGGTAGAGTAATTTTCCTTAGTGTCATCATTCCCTTAAGCTTAAATAGCTGTATTTTTAATTTCGTATAACCTAAATGACTTTAATACTTAGCTACTCCAAAAATGTTACTTAAAGAGTACTCTTTGACGTTTAGTGGGTGTTAAAATACTTAAAAGCTTGAAATTCTTTGAAAACATTTGACCCTAAAACACGTATTGAGATAACATTTTTTTGATCCGTCAAATTACTGTGAAAATATTTCGTGGTTAAATAAACTTATGAAAAACTTTAGACACAAAAATAATTATAACGACGTGCGTAAATGCTACCACCCAACAATCCAGCACCAACAGGTCCTTTTACGAGTATTTACCAAATTATGTTAAAGCTTAATTTGGCATAAATAAGGCTTACTTATAGCTGAAGCCGCTGAAACTAGTCGGCTAGACTTCGATTATAATCACTTAAAGTTGCAGCAGTTGTTATTTCGTAGACTGTAATGTATCGCAGTTCCAGAGCCACAACTCTATTTCGGCTAATTATTCCTTTTTTGGGGGTCCATTCATCCGTCGACATTTTCTTCCACTTTGCGTTACTATGTAGGGCGGTGCAGCAGCTTGTATTTACAAACATAATTAAGCAGAAAAATAAGCGCAGCAGCAAAGGCTGATCGAAACATATGTGTTTATATTAACGACGATAAAAATTAAGCAGCATTAAGTTTAAATATCCTGAAGGCGGAATGAACATATTTACAGCTTCACTTTGAAAATAAAAAACAGTGGACAAATGCTTGGCAAGCAACATTTCGGCAAGCTCTCGGCAGCAGTAAAACTGTGTTCTTACGCATTAGACCGCAAGCTGAATGTGAGTGGACATGTTGAGGTTTTTGAGATTTTGGAAAATGCAGCTTGCTCAAGTGGCAATCCTTGCACAGTTAAAAATCTGTGTCGACCTGACTGTCGTGGAAACATCCATAGCTATAGTGTGTGTTATTGATGTGATGAGAAACAGTCTGCTAAAGGGTTTGGCAGTAGGCAATCAAGTTGAGTGTAGTAAGAGACTTTGAAAATTTTAAATGTTCGACATCATCGAATATAATTCACAGCTTGTTTGTTTTAAAACAATGATCGGCATTATATTTGCTAAAGTAGCGTTTTTAGCCATAACCATATACATATGTACATACATTTGCGTTTCCAAGTCGGCTTAGATTACAAACAGCGATGCATTCAAGTGGCAAGACTTGAATGCATTTTTATGTCTTCCTTTATGCATGTCACACATACATATGTATGTGAGCTGTGTATACTGCTGGATTCCAAGTTCATTTCTGTTGACGCAATTCAGTCAAAAAGTGTGCAGAGCATTCATCTCGTGGCATTTTTTGGTTTTTTATCTTTTGCAGTACACTTATTTAAAAAAAAAATCAGTAGTTTTTTTTAGCTAGGTTTATGTATATGGATATCTTATTCGAAACTTTTTTCGTACGCTAGACTCGATTTTTCGCTTTTATTCCAATATATTTACATTTTTCATCGTTTTTTTTCGGTTTTTTTTAATTCGCATTTATTCCAATATATTTACATTTTTCATCGTTTTTTTCGTTTCTTTTTTTTTTGTTAATATCCGTCGCCTTCAGTTTGAATATCCATAAATTTATTAAATAACTGCGCTGTATTTACAAATTGTTTGCGATGTTCATTGCAGTTTTTATCGTTTATGTAGTTGGGTTGTTGTTTCATAATTTATTTATTTTGTGCGATAAAAACGTGGATTATACAAACGCCAATCTCTGTCGAGTGAAAAGTTATTGTGAATTTTATGTTTTTTTTCTGGAATATTTGTGGTTGAGAAATGTACACACATACATTCATAGATAAGGCAAGAGGCGAAATAAATATTTGTTAAATTGTTAATTAGGTACGGCGAGAAGAGGGATAATGATACGATTTTTTGAGGGATGATTTTGTTAGGAATGATCTTAAGCATGTCGTATGGATTAAAACAAAAAAAAAGTTAATTATAATCATGAGGAATAAATAAATAAATAATGGGCCGAATGAATAAAAACAAAGCAATTGCTTTTTCTTAAAATTGCATACCTTTTACTTCAATTTTGTTTGAATAAATCGAGTAATGAGTAAGAAATTTTAAGAAAAAGCAATTGCTTATTTTTTATTCATACGGCCTAATGAAGAATTTCCAAAGCAAACATTTTGGCTATTTACAGTTAGAAGTTTTAAAATTGAATTAAATAGTTACTTATGATTCAATAGTGGTATTCACCAAAATGAGCAAGTGGCCTGGCACTCTGGCAAAAGAGCAGATGAGCTCAAGCAACGACTGTTGACATCAGTCGTTGCTTTAGCTGATCTGCCCTTTTGCCAGACGCACAGGCAACTTGCTCACTTTGGTGAATACCACTAATGTGTTAATGATGAGTAACAGGGTTAGGTAGTCACGGAATGATCGAAAAAATAAAAATCAAAATGAGTATAAATTGGATTTCTTTAGCCGATGCCCTGAGCCCTGTTAGACAGACGTTGAGTGGGGCAGCATCGATGAGGGACCACAAAACAGGTGGCTGTATGGCCTTAGAGCATAATAAAGTTAATACTGTAACGGATATAATGGCGGATGCCTTTAACTATAGCTGCCCCGAGACCCAACCAAGAGTGAAAGGTAAAACAGTGTGGTGATCTTAGGAACAGTCATCCCTTCTTCGGAAAGACGCGCGCAGGCTGTTCAATAAGACCAAGCGCACGGGATGCTGGACAGAGTATGCGTCTAGTCTAACAAAATACAGCAAAGAGAATAGGAAGGCGAAGAGGGAAAGTTTCAAAAATAAGCGTATTTTTTCTTCAATTTTTTTTACGAGTCTTTTTTCGCCGTCGAAATACTAGCGCGCCTTATTTGTGTCTAATGCCGATAAGTTTTAACTCAACAACTCCCTATCACAGCACATTTTCAATGTATTCTCAGCTGATAGGACGTTTTTGAACCGTATTCTGAGACAGGGCGTTCTTCAACCAAATTTTGAGATAGGGCGTTTTTCAATAAAATTCTGAAATAGGGCGTTCTTTCAATCAAATTTTGAAGTAGAGCGCTCTTGAAAAGTTTTCTGAGATAGCGCGTTTTCGAACTGGCTGCCGAGATAGGCCGATCTTCCACTCAGGTGACGAGATGGAGAAAAAAAGAAATCGCTTTCAAAAATTAATTTAAACTTACACTAGCAAGCTGAATTTTTGCTGAATGGGCTGTCAAACAAATGTAGTTTGTGAAAAAAAAAGAAAGAATCAAATATAGCTTTTCTGTAATTAAAGAGTATTTTACTTTCGATAGTCACTTTACATGTAAGGACTTTTTGAAACTGCTTTTATTGCCATGTCTGACTGCAGCTTTATGAATTTCACTACTACTTCACGACCAATTTTAGTGATTATGTGATGAAATATGATTTATGGAAATTAAAATAAAGTATATTTTCGCAAAAAAAAAATAATCAAGCTTAAAATTGTATAAATTTATTACAAAAAAACAAAATATGAAAAGTAGCACATACTGAGTTTAGAAAACGAATAATGATGTTAAAGGAAAATATCGCTAGCTTGGAGTTGGAAAAGTTGCCAAATTCACTTTTTGCACTCTACGCTAGCGATATGTATTAAAAATGTACATTTTTGATTTATAAAATTAATTTTAGTTACAAAATTTTTGTTTTTACAAGATAATAAACATAAAAGCATTACAACCATTAAAATTTAAAAAAAAAACAAACAAAAATAAAATTTTTTTAATTGAAAAAGTAAAAATTCACGAAAACGGCGAAGAGCAATTTTTTTTTTAAATTGGACATCGTTTCCTAAACGCCACACCAACTCTTTGTTTTCCCCCAAATTAACCCGTGTAACTCAGAGTATAAGCCAAGTACGAATATAAAAATTACAAACGCAAGTCGTCGAATGAAGCAATTTAAACCGCAGATTTCGCTAAATTCAAAATTTACAACGATTCGCCGTAAGAATAAATTAACAGAATAGATAACGTATAACGAAGAAGATCTGTGACGTGGGAAAAATGTCGCAATAAATTAACAAGCGCGTAGTGTAGAGTTCATTTGAGTATAGTAGTCTTTGGAGACTTGCAATTTCATGACTAACTGTTGATCGAGTGTGGGGGAGGTAGCGTGCGCTGCGAGGAGTTGCAAATTTTTATACTTTTCGCTTTTTTCATAATTGAGCTACGCTTTTTTTAGGATTTTTGATTGCTGTTCTGTTTCTATTTTTTTTTTGTTGCTTATCTATTTGTTTCTTGTAATATTGTGACACAAACCTTGTCGTTGCCGCTGAGCTGTTATGATAATTGGTCGGCGTGGTGGCAAGTGGCGATGATAGCGGCGTACGCAATGGACGGCGAGCTGTAATGCCACGGTGATGATGATAACCGCCAGCAGCTGGGGAGCGACGTGTAGCATTCGATGTCAAGTAGCTATTGTTGTTATTGCTATTGCTGTTTGTAGTAGCTTTTTCGCGCTTCGTAGACAAAGTGTCGTTGCTGTTGCTGTGATTGGTAGTGGTGTTGTTTTTGTTGCTGTTGTTCGAATTGGTTGTGGAGTTCAACGAATCAACCGATGACGAATTGGACAACGGAGAGCTGTGTTTGGAACGAAGTGCGAAAGGCGAAGAAAATTGAAGTTGAATACAATTTTTTGTTTGTAGCTTTTGTAGCGTAATTAATTTATATAAATATACTGTTGCTGATTCGTGGTGGTGATGTACTGATTGGTTTTGTTAAGAAGTTTGTGGAAATGCGCAGAGTGATGAGCGATTTT